ACACACACACACACACACACACACACACACACGTAAATACACCTTCACAGTCAAGGATTTTATTCTTCATTCACGTCTGCTTTTTTCCCCTTAAAAAACCATGTCAATGTACAACACATTTTTGACAAGACAGCTGTGTTTACAACTAAACTCAAAGTTATGGGCCATTCAAAACCCAAGCAGGGATGTTGAGGGGCCAAGAGAACTATAACGGGCAGTATAATATTACAAAGGAAACACTGCACCCCCCCCCCCCAAAAGAAAAACAAAACACATAAATAATTCATTTTAAAAAATGTGAGGACACCATAAATGGAGAACCTTTCCATCAATCATGCACTTAAGTTACACAGTTCATAATCTTTGCATCTCTTCTTATTTCTACTCATTTCCTGTGCCATAAAACAGGAGGGTGAAAGGGAATCCTTCAAGTGGCAGGAGGGGTGTGGCTTACGGGGGGGTGGAGGAGGGCGTGTCCTACAGTCCGCAGAGCACCCATAGGTCAGGATATCCTTCCTTTCCCCCAACACTGTGCCCACTGGCTGAGAAAAAGTCTTTTCATCCTCTCTTTGCTTTTCTGTCTATCCACCTCCAGGGTGAGGACAACAGGAGAACGTCTATAAGGTCCGGCAGAACCAGCAGTGTACGGGAGCTCAGAGTGACGGTTGGACTGTTTTCAAGCCCAACCCAATGGCACAGCTCAGTTGAAAGCGACAAATCCAGGAACGAGGGAGAGGATAAGGTGAGACGAAGAGGCGAAAGGACAGACTGTACCAAGAAGACACACAGTGCCCCCTACTTGACCTAGAGAAAGAAAAGCGGGATAAAACTAAGTGATACACAGGTGCGGCTGGGCTGAGAACGTCTCTTTGGGGGGACATATGCCTCTGATGATAAAGCTAAAGTACCTGCTATCTGGTAATGTAAGTGTAGGTGCGGGAAGGGGAACGCCCTTCCGTCTGGCCGTTAGACGACACGTTCAGGAAATCCCAGATGAGAATCGTGTCGTCGTGTGAGCTGCTGATAATCTGGAACTCGTCGAACTGTAGCCGGAAAACACGGCCAGAGTGCTCCTAGTGAGACCATGGAGACAGAGTCAGAGACTGGGCATAGCTAACAACAGACAGACCACGATAAAGGGCAGCAGGGACTCACCACCAGTGTCCGCAGACAGAGAGTACTGGCAGGGGCTCGGGGATCCAGAGCCGCTTGCAAGTCCCATACTTTAATTTTCCTGGAAGAGAGAGACCTGGGGTTTCAGACAGATGTACATCACTGACTAGCACTGCATATAAGATGGTTGGCATGGTAACAGCATGATGTCATCACCCATCATAAGCTCCACTGACGATCCTCTTGTTGTCGAATCGAATGCAGCGGACCAGCTCCTCGTGACCCTCCAACACGCGCAGACAAGCCCCACACTCGATGTCCCACAGCCTGCAAACACAGTTCGCTATCACCCACACGCACACACTGTAACACAGACACGCATATCAACACGTAGAACGGTACACTGACCGGATGGTGTTGTCCGAAGAGCCGCTGACCACCAGCCTGTCCCGGTACTGTAGACAAGCGATGCCTCGTTTGTGTCCGTTCAGCGTGCGGACAAATTCACAGGTGCTGGTGCTCCACACCTGAAGAGGGGAAAGAAGCCCATTCAACACTGCTTCTAAACATCCATCCATCCATCCATCCATCATCCACCCATCCATCCATCCATCCATCCATCTAACTGCTTGCCCAATTTAGGGTTGTGGGGGGTCCACTGCCTATAGGTGCCAGGTAGGGAACAACCCCGGATGGGGCGCCAACCAATCATAGGGCACACACACACCATTCACACCTATGGGCGATTTGCTATTTTATTATACTTCAGAAAGAGCTGTTCTTAGTTAAAAAGTTCATTGCCAAGCAGTCTCATTGGGTGCTTTTTAATAAGTAACACCTTTGCAATAACATTAAACACCAAACATTTGTGTTTAGTATCCCTATGGGAGCCAATGAATCGAATTGCAATTAAAAACAAAATGGCAAGAACAGAACTGAATGAGTCAGTGAAAAACATCATAACACTTAATAAAAAGAAAATATCCATGCGGAAAATATATGCAGATAGATTAAACTTTGCTTGTCAATGGACTTTTGTTATGAAACACTTCAATGCACTTGCAACATTTTTAAAGCATTAAGCAAGCGTCCCAAAGACCAAAGACTTCCTGTCAGTAGTGTTAATTACAGGCTCGGCCTATATTGAAAATAAAATGCCATGTCACATATCGACCAACAAAAATACACGATTTGTCCTGTATTTCCATACACATGGTATATTTTCACCCCGCTCGGTAAATGTCATCGTCGGGACCACCCCCCCTTCACCCCTGGCACCCCCCCGGTACTACGTGAAGCAGTCCCCAGAAAACGAAAAGCTGTGGGAGCCTGATAAGGGGGACGCTGCCATTTATAAAACCTAAAGATCAAAGCAGCACATTCCACCTCATTTTATTATAGTCAGAATACTACAGTATTACGTACAGAAATCCAATCAATAATCTATATAGAGGGTTTGCAGCCCATAATAATCCACATATGTATAGTCTGTAGTGGGGCACTCCTAGGAATCAGGCTGGTCTGGCTCCTTTTAACTTTACTAACACATCTAATCCGTCCGATGTTTGTGTTTATATGTTTTATAGATGACTTTTTATAGCTTTAAATGTTTCATAGTTGACACCCTGCTCTGGGTTTCTGGTTGGGAAAACATAAAAATCCCCATTCAGTCGCATTCTTGTAGTAGCAGTAAACAAGTTTCATTAAAAGCAGCGAACATTTCATGTGGTTTTTAAGTTGCACTGGTGATGTGCTCATTTCTTCGGCTGCAGGTACCGATACAGACGAACGACAGAAGAGCTGTGTGTGAACTTTCCATAGAACCACCACGCCCTCGTGTCTGGAAGCCAGGAATTCCAGCAGCCCCTTTGAGGGGAAACCAGGGTACCCCAATCGTCTTATTATTGCATTTGAGAATGTTTTTGGAAAGGGGGACTGTGGGGTAGGAGATTCCCGCACGGGCCATTTTCCCACAGATGTGCCGCGGGAGAATCCTAACTACTCAAAAAGGCCCAGAAGAGTGGACAGGGAGAGACAGATGGGTGCATGGTCTAAATGCTGTTCGGCATCCTGAATGTTCCGGAGTGTCCAAATGGCTCAAAGGAGTTACCATGGAAACGTGCTGAGATGGTGTGGAGTTTGGGGGGGTTAGGAACCTGCACAAAGGAGCCTCAACATCACTAACCTGGGACAATATCCAACATCAACTATGGCTCAAGAATGACACCAACTGGTATAGCTATAAAATAACTGAATGAGCTGCCCACACTGGTGTTTTTGGGGGGATTGCTCAACACAAAGAACAACTCAGAACTACAATCGTTCCCAGGTAGCGTTTAGGAATCAGCAGAATGAGCTCAGTCTGACACCTCTACACACTGACAGAGCTCAGCATACACCATGCGGAGAGTTCAGTAGGTTTGCACAAACGCACAACATTTTTGTGGGATTCCAGGTGAGGACGCATGTGCCGTTTACTCACAGATTACAGACACAGTAGGATATTACCTGTTTGATGTGCGGCCGACCAGTGTTTAACTACCATATTTTTTGGGCTATAAGCCGCACCTGTGTATAAGTCGCACCGTACCTACCTAAAACCTCAAAAATGTGGAAAAAAAACATATATAAGTCGCTCCTTTGAATTAGTCGCGGCTAGAAAGGAACACATATACAACTAAAAGTTCTATATTTTAATCGGTTTTCAACCAGAAAAGCACCTTTGATAAAAATGGCTTTGGCAGTTTAAATAAATCAAAAATCTACTAATTTGAATTTTCAATGTTAAATGTCTTAATTGTCTGTGTCAGTAAAGCCGTCAAAGTCCTCATTCTCAGTGTCACTCTCAAATAGCTGAGATATTGCTGCCGGAATATCCCGGTATTGAATGTCTTCTTCTTCTTCCTCTTCCTGTCCTTCTGCACCAGCTATTTTTGCCTTTCTGAAGCCGGATGTTATTGTTTTAATGCTTATGGTATCCCATGCTAAGCTGATCCTAATATCTGGCCGTAATAATAGTTATCGAGCATTTTTTTTTTATTCAAATAAAGGATTAGAATAAATTTAATATGATCCCAGTTACATTTAATTAGTGAACGCTTGCCATCGCGTGGAGGGACTCCATATTGGGTTTATGAGTTACGGAATTATTTGTCTGACATTACATCTAGAGTTATGTAAAGAATGCCTTTATCCCTTTTAGGCGAGTTACGCCTAATGTATACTGCTTAAAATGACTTAGCCGGCGTACAAAAAATCGGAAAAATTCACATATAAGTCGCACTTGTTCTATAAGTCGCAGGGCCAAAATTTTGGGAAAAAAAGTAGCGACTTAAAGTCCAAAAAGTACAGTAAATGAAGTGAGAAAATTCAGAGACAGAGAATTAAAAAAAACTTTTACAAAGGATATATTTTATTATGATTTTAGGAACTGAGAAAGAGATAGAGAAATAGCTCAGATGATATGAGGGGAAGTCAGTACCATTTCAGGTTTTAGGGGGGGGAGTCCCTAGGCAGAAGCTGGAAATCCACACGACTCACCTTGATGGTACGGTCCCCGGAGGCCGAGACGATGTACTTGTCGTCAAAGTCTACGACGTTGACGGCGGCGCGGTGGCCCACCAGCACGCGGCGCAGGCTGATGTCGGTGGGCGAGGCCATGTCCCACACGGCGATGGAGCGGTCCTTGGAGCAGGTCACCATTAGGCCGTTGCAGAAGCGCAAGTGCAGCACGGCCTCGTTGTGGTGGATCAGCGTGTTGAGCACTTCACCCGTACTGACGTCCCACACCCTGGGGGAAGAGCCGGCTGAGGAGCAGCCCCTGGCACCAAAGCTTTCGAGCATCCCCAGTAAATCCTCCTCACCTGACTGTGGAGTCGGACGAGCCGGTGACGATGACCCTCTCGTCATACTGCAGGCACAACACGGAGCCCGTGTGTCCTGTCAGAACCTTCAGGCACTCCAGAGTCTGCTTGTCCCAAATCTGAGACACAGGGAGGGCCGAGTGAAGCAGAGTTAAGTTCTCCCCAAGCGAGCTCGATGGGCCGAATGGCCTCCTCTCGTTTGTATAGTTCTTATGTTCTTATGTACATCAGCCTCGTTCTCCTTCTCAAACTGACGCCCACATGCACACGCACCTTGATGGAGTTATCCCGAAGGCCACTGATAATCTTGTCATCGTCATACTGCAGACAGTACACGCCCTTGCTGTTCTCTGAGCGACACTGAATCCTCTGCAGGTTGTGTCTTCCACAGCGCCAATTTGCCTCGATGGTCTACGCAAAGAGGCAGCAGGTCAGACGGAGGACCAAGTGGAAGAATGCGCCACTTAGCCCTTTCTACATCGAATTTATGGACTTACTTCAATGTCTTGGATGATTTTGGGGTAAAGCGAATGATAGTAGCTGTTTGGAGGGACCTCTGCAGTACGATTCTTAAACAGATGCTTCTCCCTACAGGAACAAGAGATAAATGATGCAGGTCACAGCCTAGAATGGTCCCTGCTCTGATGGGAGGATCTCGCTCCCTGCCTCAACCATGCAGGGTGACCCGTCGGCCAGTAGGACTCACCAGTGGTGCCTCTCGGACAGGCCCTTCCACAGCGCGTCTGTGCGAACCATGCGCTCGATGAGCTTCTTCCACAGCATGCCTTCAGAGATGACGCGCTGCCACTCCTTACACACCAGCTCAGCCGCGCACAGCGAGCGCGCGTCCAGGAACGACAAGATGTTTTCTGCTATGTGGTCCAGACCCTGAGCTGCAAAGCGAAGACACCAGCGGCGTGACGCGTCTGCGGCCGCGTGAGAGCGTGTGAGTGTGTGAGGACGCCGGCGAAGGTTCGGCTTACCCGGTAGCGCGGTGATGAAGTCCCTCTGCAACATGGGCTTGAGGTAGGAGTTGATATGGCCGTGCTGGTAGTGACACATACGGGAAATCAAGTGCTCAACAAATTCCACCTGGTCAGCCTCTGACCACTGGTCAAACAGCTGGATGCACCGGTCCTTCTCCTTCTCATAGTTTCCCTCTGAGGGCCTCTTCCTGGAGCCCATCACTGGTCCATTAATAATCTGTGCGGTAGAAACAGTGATTACACTGCATGTTATGCACCCTATTTGCCACTAGGGGGAGCTCGCATGCAACAAACCGAAACCTGATTGGCCACTAGATACAACCTGATCACCTACCTTTAACACTGTGGTCTTTGGGGAAAGGTCATCATTCTGAGACTCCATGTTCTGCAGGAGAGAACAGCAGTATGGTGACTGAGCAGTTTGAACACAAAGGCAAATATGGTGACACTTTGAGGTATAGGACAATGACCCGTACTTTGACTGTCCTCCACACAACATTATCGCAGCAAAGCCAGTCAGAGAATGCAAAAGCCTGCAGCAGAAGCAGGGTCAGGTGGGGCAAATAGTCACACGTCACAGGACATGGGCAGCAAAAACTTCAGTCTTCTGGAGCCTGAAGCCCAGGGAAAGGCCACACCCCCACTGAACCCAAAGTCTCAGGGATGGGCTACGCTCCCCCATGATCTCAACGGCCTGGGGATAGGCCACACCTTCCAATTATCCCACTGGCCTGAATATGGTCCACATCATCATGCACATGGAGCAAAAGACCTCCTCATCTGGACCATATAAGCTCCCAACAGAGACAGTGACAGAAGCAGCTAACAGACACATCTAGAGCCCGCAAGATGTAAGCGCACCATGTCAATCTGTGTAATGTCACTACAGAAACTGAAGACCCCGCAGACACACACACACACACACACACACACACACATTTTCAACCATCAACATGCTAACAGTCTCCAGCCGCATCCAGCCGCAGCTCAGACAGGGCATACGAGGGCCGGGAGGTCAGGAAGGAGGACAAGGGGGGGCGGACAGCACAGCACAGAGGGGGAGAAATGAAGAGAGGCACCTGACTGCGGCCCAGCACACTGGGCATGTTCTGCAGACACTTGAGTGCACACAGGCTCCCAGCCACCAAGGAGCAGCCAAGCCTGAGAGAGCGAGGCATAGAGCACTGTGGACAAGAGAGAAGGAAGGAAGGAAGAAAGGAAGGAAGGATAGAGGAATGAATAGAGGGGAAAGGGGGAAAACAGGCATTAGAAAGCCAGTCTTACACACACACACACACAGACACACACACACACACACACACAAGGGGTTTACACCAGGGAGAGAGACAAAGACAATCCAGTATAAGAATGAGTACTCTATACCTCCACAACATTACACCCAACCCGGCACCCCTTAAACGGTAACTGGCCCCCGTCAACCCGGCACCCCCTAAACGGTAACAGGCCCCCGTCAACCCGGCACCCCTTAAACGGTAACAGGCCCCCGTCAACCCAGCACCCCCTAAACGGTAACCGGCCCCCATCAACGCCGCACCCCCAAAACGGTAACAGGCCCCCGTCAACCTGGCACCCCCTAAACGGTAACAGGCCCCCGTCAACCCAGCACCCCCTAAACGGTAACCGGCCCCCGTCAACCCGGCAACCCCTAAACGGTAACAGGCCCCCGTCAACCCGGCACCCCCTAAACCAGGGGTCTCTAACTCCGGTCCTGGAGAGCTACTATCCAGTAGGTTTTCTGTCCCACTTGGCTTCTGATGAGCCACATATGGCCCTGGTATTTACCTGAGAACAGGTGTGGCTCATCAGAAGCCAGGTAGGACAGAAAACCTACTGGATAGTAGCTCTCCAGGACCGGAGTTGGAGACCGCTGCCCTAAACGGTAACAGGCCCCCGTCAACCCGGCACCCCCTAAACGGTAACAGGCCCCCGCCAACCCGGCACCCCCTAAACCAGGGATCTGTAACCCTAGGCACGCGTGCCAGTTGATCACAATAGAGACCTGCACTCCCGCGGGACCCAACGCACCGAGTGCGGCGCGGGACAAGATTTGATGGGTGAATGCGGGTGCGGGCGGTAAGGTCCTCATGTATGTACGGGTTGCGGGAGAATAGAATTAATCGCGGGACTCC